ATATATATATATATATATATATATGATTTGGAAAATATTTGAACACCTTGTCTTAAAATATTTTATTCATCATGTTAAAATAAAGCGTTCCGTAATCAATTTTTTTTCTTTTCTTTTTTCAATTTTTCGGAAAAAAACAAAAAAGGCTTCAGGAAAAAAAACCGGGTTTTTTTCCAGAATTTTTCCGTTTTTTTTCTGGGCCTTCACATTTCTAAAGCTCTTCTTGAGAAATTAAAATTAATTGAGGCCACTGGACTCAAACTTGGTTCTCACATCTGTTGTTAGTGCCTTTATTATCTGTATGCCAACTTGCTGCTATTTTACATGTCCTCCTATATGTGTTATTCCAGCCTTAGCTAGATCTATTGCTGAATTACTTAGGCATCTTGACTCTAATGAGCTCTTCCTGGCAACTAATCCCCCCCACCTGCATGTAATATTTGAGGAAGTCTGTTTCAGTGTATGCGGAGAAGTGCACACGCTGAGTCTCTGTCATCGCAAGTACACAGCACCGAGCTTTGTTTGTGCTGCGGGTACCGCTGGACTCTAGCTTCATTTTCCCCTCTTTTTGTTAAATCTTGCATTTACGTGCCGATTTGCTGCTCTCCATTGACCTTACCGGCCACCTGATCCCATTTCAGCTCCGCATCTGCACCTTGGCTCTGAGCGGCCCCTCCTAATGGCCGCCCCCCACCCTCTTTTCCCTTGTAAGTAACCCTTGAGTAGACCTTATTCCATTTCTCTGAAGAAGTGTGTGCTTTGCACACGGAAGCGTACACCTTGAATAAAACTTTGTTGGTCTTAAAAGTGCCCCCGACTCAGACTTCGTTCTGCTGCTTCAGTCCAACACGGCTGCCCCACCTGAATTTTTCCTCTTGGGATCAGTTCACGACGGCGTGTTAATTACCCAGCTGGCTTCCAAGCAAGGGGAGGGGAGGGAGTTTTCCTTGCTTCTGTTTCATCAACATTTACTAAATTTCCCCTCCCCGGCCTTCTCCCTCCAGATACGGTTTCACAAACATGCGCTACATCGCATCCCTGATCAGTGGCGTTGGCATTTTCATGATGGGTGCAGGACTTTCGTGGTACCACGGGGTGATGGGCTTGCTGCATCCTCATCCCATAGAATCACTGCTTTGGGTAAGTTAAGCTGCCATGCGATTAATGGGATGGGCTTGGATCCCGCAGTTCTGCTGTGCTAATGGTGGCAACCTTCTTTTGAAGTCGGGGGCCTTTTGCCGATGCAAGGGCCAGTTAACACCAGCCGAAGGCTTCTTGTTCTGGAGGAAAAACCCTGACCTGGATAGCCCAGGCTGGCTCGATCTCGGAAGCGAAGCAGGGTCAGCCTTGGCTAGTATTTGGAAGGGCGACCTCCAAGGAATACCAGAGTCCTGACGCAGGGGCAAGGCAGTGGCAGACCACATCCGAAATGTCTCTTGCCTAAAAGACAAGTCTAGCTCGCCACCTAGTGGTGGATAGCACTAAAAGAGCTAGAACTTCTAGCTGCCAGACAATCTTAGGATCTCTTGGCTATACTACACACAAGGCCAGCGTTCCCTCTAAGCTGAGTTAGTGTGAGCTAGCTCACAGGTTTTTAGCCTCCAACTCACACATTTTTGTGTTTGCTCAGGAAGGATGGCTCCAGAGCAAACTAATTTATGCAGTAGTCAAATTGCCCGCTCACAACTTTAATGCCAGTAGCTCACAAAGTAGCATTTTTGCTCACAAGGCTCTGCAGCTTCGAGGGAACATTGCACAAGGCCATATGATATTATGATTTCTAGAGGAAAGCACCTTTAGTACAGCGGAATTGTGCAATCCAGCCCACAGTGCTTTAAATTATGATCCTTCGTTTCTCAGATACAAAATTCAGATAGTATATGAGGCAACCTAGCCACCTGGGCAGAGGAGCTCCACCTGTGTACGTGTGGCCCGGGGGCTCCATGGTGCCCAGTGAAAACCTTTCTGGGTGCCAGCACAAGGGTCTTCACTGCATGACTGAACACATGCTGTGTGTATGCAAGGCTACCGTTTGGGAAACGCAGAAGTGGGCTGTCCCCAGTTAACATAGTTTAATACAGGGGTCCCCAACCTTCTTGAGCCTGCGGGCACCTTTGGAATTCTGATAACAACATGGTGGGTGCAGACACAAAATGGCTGCCACAAGAGGCGGAGCCAGCCACAAAATGGCTGCTGCAGTTTACATTCAGTCACACAACAAAGATCCTTGTGGGGTGACAGCAGCTGCAGCCAAAGCAGTGGGTTTTTAAAAAATAAATAAATAACTGCACAGCAAATCACATTTCCAGGGGCCAGTCAGAAGCCTTGCTGGGCAAAAGCCCCACCCTCTTTCTTAAAGCCCTGGTGGGTTGCCCGGAAAGGTGACATGTGGGCACCATGCTGGGGGACCCCGGGTTTAATAGTTTCGAATCTCGTACCTTAATCCAGTCTGAGATAATGGCTGTGCTCGGACAGCATGAGAAATCTGAGTTAGAGGCTTGTCGGCGTGCTCACGGGCAGGACTTCGCAGTGCTCTCCTCTCATTCCTCCCTCCTGTCATGTGGCGCACTTGACCGATCGCTTCCCAGTCTGAGCAGGCTTCAATGTACCGTGGTGTCCAGATGCAAGCACCCCGGCACCTGCGTGCCTCCCCCACGCCCCTTGTCAGGAATTCTAAACTGCCTGGGCGGGGGGTCCAGCTTTGTTTGGTGTCGCTGTTCTTGCCGGATTTCATTCAAGCTCTGCGTGCAGGGAAAAGTGGGAGGAAGGAGGGGAGCGGCGCGAGCGCAGCCAACGATCCACGTTCCCGCCTGGTGCCAGCAGACTTCTGTTTAGGTAAAGGTTCCCTTGCTCGAAAGCCAGTCGAGTCCGACTCTAGGGTTGCGGGGCTCATCTCCGTTTCCAAGCCGAAGAGCCAGCGCTGTCCGAAGACGTTTCCGTGGTCATGTGGCCGGCATGACTACACACCAAGGCGCACGGAACGCTGTTACCTTCCCACCAAAGTGGTACCTATTGATCTACTTGCAATTTCTTGCTTTCGAACTGCTAGGTTGGCAGGAGCTGGAACCAGAGACGGGAGCTCACTCCGTCGTGCGGCACACTCGGGTCTCAAACTGCTGAACTACCGACCTTCCACAGCCTGCAGTTCAGCGTCTTAACCACTTGAGCCACTGCAGCTCCAGACTTCTGTTTAGCAGCAGTTACTTTTGTGATGCAGCCATAGTGTGAGATCCCTGCTTCTGAGGAAGACTTCCCCCACCCCACCCCCAGTGGAAGATTCCTTAGTTAATGGAATGGAGCCATTTGATCTGAACTCACAGGAGGTTATTTTTAAGTTTTGTCTTAATTTACAAGTCTTTCTGTTGTGTGAATATATAACTAAATCCTCTCTTTCCCCCCCTGTCTTCCAGGCCTATTGTATATTAGCTGGGTCACTGGTATCCGAAGGAGGTATGCGAACTGTTGTTGCTTTGTTTTCTGCCTTTTCCCAAAGCGCGTGAACTCTCGCTGCCAAGCGCATAAGCGATCCCATGTTTGAGGGTAAAGGTGTAGAATGTAAAGTAAACCAAAAGAGACGACAGGATGGCCTCGGAATGTTTGTTTGTTATCCTGGTAGTCAGCTGTGTTGGTCTGAAGCAGCAGAACAGATTTAGAGTCCAGTGGCACTTGGACTTACAGGTGCCACTGGACTCTAAATTTGTTTGTTTTCCTTGCATCCATCTCTTCCCTTTATGAAGTCCAGAACTGCTTGCACGAGGCTCCAGGGGCCTCCCCTCCACTTGCCCATCCGGTTGGCACATGCTCAGCTTTTAAGAAAGCTGTGGCGTTAGCTGCTCCAGGGCTGTTCTTGCCGGATTGTATTGCGGCAGTACACTTATCTCACTGGTACACCGAACGCATGTCAGATACAAAAGTTTAGACCCAGAATTAAACTTTATGGGTCTTAAAGATGCTTGGTTTCCCTTGCTCGAAAGCCAGTCGAATCCGACTCTAGGGTTGCGGTGCTCATCTCCGTTTCCAAGCCGAAGAGCCAGTGCTGTCCGAATACTTCTCCGTGGTCATGTGGCCGGCATGACTAAACGCCAAGGCACATGGAACGCTGTTACCTTCCCACCAAAGTGGTACCTATTTACTTGCAGTTTCTTGCTTTCGAACTGCTAGGTTGGCAGGAGCTGGGACCAGAGACAGGAGCTCACTCTGTCATGCGGCACACTCGGGTCTCGAACTGCTGACCTACCGACCTTCCAGCCTGCAGTTCAGTGTCTTAACCGCTTTTCCTTAAAGGTGCTACTGAACTCAAAATTTGTTCTGTCGCTTCAGACCAACACAGCTACCCATCTGAGTACATTTTAAGGGCTTTTTAAAAACAAAACAAAAAAAACCCTGTTTTGGAACATATCACTCCTGTGCTATGTCAACTGCGCTGGTTTCTTATTTGCTTCTGGGACCGATTCAAAGTGCTGTAGCTTACCTTTAAAGCTCTTTGTGGCCTGGGACCCTCATACCTCTTAAACAGCATCTCCCAGTGTACTCCGGTGCACCAGCTGTGTTCCTCAGACAGTATCCAAGCCAAACCAACTTGGCAAGCTTGGCAGGCCCTGGCAAGAAGACACTGGCACAATAAAATTAAAGAAGAAACAGTCCGGGGAGTCTTCTTCTGACATTTCCAGCTGCTCTTGAATATTTCTGGATTTTTTTCGGGACCCATTTGCCCTTATCCCGGAAAATCCTAGATACCATTTGGACATCCAGATATCAGTAAGGTATATACTTGGACCAGAAGTATCCAAAAGCATATCCCTAGTTGGTGACGTGGTGTGAGGATCTGCCATTCAAAGGAAACGGTAGTTCCGTTGGGTACACCTGAGCCTTAAGTGGCTTCCAGAATTGTGGCCCTGAACCCCTAAAAGGCGCTCCGTTCTTAGTGCCAGTCAGAGCTGCTTTTCGATACAGGCTTGTTTGAACGGAAGCTGGGATCTGTAGCCCATTTTGCTTGGAGTGTTCCTGTTTGAACTGAAAGGAAATGTTCTTGAATAAGTGGGCCGGGGATTGGGGCCTGGTTCTTTGTCTTAAACTAGGGCACCGTTACAAAGCGATCCCTTGATGCGCGTCATAAACGTTAAGGCCAGACAGGGTACCAGAATGAATTTCCTGCTTTACCTGTTGTCCCTTTTGTTTCTCTTCTTTGATTTTCTTTTCTTCTTTTTTAGCGACTCTCCTCGTGGCAATCAATGAAATTAGAAGAAGTGCCCGGGCCGGGGGGCTGTCCTTCTATCAATATGGTATGTATCCTTGGCGTGGGATGAGTCACTCGTTTTGCCAATGTTTGCTTTATCTCCTTTTGAATGGATGCAGTTTGATTTTTTTTGGGAAAGAAAGTCTCTTGGGTTTCCTTATGCTTCCCAACCTCATTCCCTTGAAAGCAATTGGCATGGAGTGCCAATCAGAAGGGCAGAGCAAAGGTGCCACTTGCAGGGTGGGGTTTCTGTGTTCCTGGGGCACCCCCCCAAGTTTGTGGGAAAATGTTGTTCTGTACATTGAAAGATCTGCCCCCAGCTGCCTGATGAGGCTGAATGTGCTGACTGAACTGTAGGAATCATGGGGTTTTGAGAGATGGGCATTGGTTAAAGATGGGAGAAGACTGGCACACCCAATCTAGGCCATTCACTTGACCTAAAAGCATTGCCGTATTGTGGAAGGGATGGATTTGGATGAAGTAATCAAAACTACCGTTTTGTTCACCTCTGCCCAGTTCCTCACAGTCCCCAACTTGCTTGTAACATCTAAGGAGATGGCTATTAAAGTAGTTACTCTTTGGAGTAAGTAACCCAGGGCTCTTTTTGTAGCAGGAACTCCTTTGCATATTAGGCGACACACCCCTGCTACAGAAAGAGCCCTGGACGACACACCCCTAATGTAGCCAGTCTCCTCCACGAGCTTACAGTAGCCCCTGTAAGAAGAGCTCTGTAAGCTCTTGGAGGATTGGCTACATTAGGGGTATGTGGCCTAATATGCAAAGGAGTTCCTGCTACAGAAAGAGCCCTGGGCGACACACCCCTAATGTAGCCAGTCTTCCACAAGCTTACAGTAGCCCCTGTAAGAAGAGCTCTGTAAGCTCTTGGAGGATTGGCTACATTAGGGGTGTGTTGCCTAATATGCAAAGGAGTTCCTGCTACAAAAAGAGCCCTGGGACACACCCCTAATGTAGCCAGTCCTCCACGAGCTTTCAGTAGCCCCTGTAAGAAGAGCTCTGTAAACTCTTGGAGGATTGGCTACATTAAGGGTGTGTCGCCTAATAGGCAAAGGAGTTCCTGCTACAGAAAGAGCCCTGGGCGACACACCCCTAATATAGCCAATCCTCCAAGAGCTTACAGTAGCCCCTGTAAGAAGAGCTCTGTAAGCTCTTGGAGGATTGGCTACATTAGGGGCGTGTCGCCTAATAGGCAAAGATGTTCCTGCTACAAAAAGAGCCCTGACCCCTTAACTCTAGTGACCCGGAAAATGCATCCATAGTGCTACCCCTTTATAAAACACAGCAATACGTAGAAGTACTTATTGGGATGCATCGTGTCAGAAAGATTGGTGCATGAAAGTGCTACTTCTCTGCACACACACACACACCCAATGGCAGCCTGAAATGAGGGTAAGGATTGGAGGGCAGCCATAGAAGGGCATAATTGGCAAAACAACAACAACAACCCATACACATGGATCTTTTCCACAGGATCCTAGCCATTGTGTAGTAAAGACTTTGGCAGATTTTTGTTTCCGTTCAGTTTACTGGCTTTTATATGACTAGATAAAGGCATGGTTACTCCTGTGCAAGGGGATCATGCAGCGGCATAATTAGTTATTAATTGTTCAGTCATTCAGGCTCGTGACCCCAGCACAAACGTCGTGTTGCTTGAAGATACTGCGGCGGTTCTGGGTGTGACGCTAGCGGCCACTTGCATGGGTCTGACATCATTGACAGGTGAGTGTCTTCCCCAAGTGGACATTGGCATGGTTAATCCTGACGGAATGTTTTGCCCATAGAAAAGAGAGGGATTTCTACATGCTTTGAAGACTACTCAGACAGGCAAAAGAACTTGGACTTTAAAAATTAAGTCAGAGGGAAGCGACTGCCTCCTTTACCCAAAGAAACCAAAACTGGCCTGAGGAGGATTGAGCCTGCTTTAGGAGGGATTGAGCATTGAGAGCCGGGTGAAAGGAAAAGCAGTCATTATCTGTAAACGGCCTTGAGGCAACAGGAAAGGTGGGGGGCATAAATATTTTTAGTGAATAAATAAAAATAAATAAATAAATATGGGGATGGGATATTGGCCTACCCTTTGCCCTTAGAAACTTTGGAATCCTGGAGGTGAAAACTTCCAAAGTATCTCCCCCCTCACCCACGATTCATTGGCTTGTCTCCTTTCCTAGTGAAATGGGTGGCTCATCTCTAAGGAAGTGCAACAGGGCACCACCAAAGAAGAGGAAGGATCCATTCACCCGGGGGGGGGG